ACCCGCGCGGAAGGCCGCCACGTGCTGCATCTGGGCCGCCACCGCAGCTACCGGGCCTAGGCCCGGACCCTGGGCCGCCGCCAGCAGGGCCGCCTGGTGCTGCAGGATCTTTGGGAGGGAAGACGGGCAGTGTGGACGGCCTGGCGGCGCCCCCGGCCCTGCTCAGCCCCAGCCCACCCACCAGGGTCAGGCCCCTACCGCGGTGGTGTAGGCGCCGCAGGCCCCGAGCGGCAGTGGCGCGGGGTGGAAGGCACCCAGCTGGCCCGCCATCTGCTGCATGCGCCGCAGCGCGCGCTCCCGGTCGGTGTCTGCCAACTTGACCACAAGGCTGGACGAGGCGCCCTGGGCAGAGCAGGGCAGGAGGCCACGGTGAGCAGTGCGGCCGCCGCCCCGGGCCCAGCACCTTGCCCGTTGGGCCTGGCCTGGCCCTGAGCGCACGCGAGAGGAGCCCGCCCGCTCCCGGTCTCACCCTCGGCGGCGCCCGCCCTCACCGCCATGGTCCGGCTGCCGTGCAGACCCTGGAGCGCTTCCCCTTGACTCCCGAACTTCACAAAGGCACAGCCTGGGGCGGGATAGAGGGGTCGAGGGGCTCAGGGCACAGGGGCCAAGGAGCCGCTCGGCCCAGAGCGCCCGCCCGCGGTCAGCGCGGCGGCGTCACCTCTGCTGGTGCCGTCGGGGCTCCGCAGGACCGTGCACTCCTGGATCTGGCCGAAGGGCTGGAACAGGCGCCGCACGTCCTCCTCGCCCTGCTGCTTGCCCAGCATCCCCACGAACAGCTTGCGGTCTTCTGCAGACAGAGCAGGAGTGACCTGGAGACCCCAAGCCGGACCCCAGCCAGGCCAGAGGAGCTTAGGAAGGCGGTTTCTGGGTCTGGCTCTGGGAGGAGCTGGCGGGAGTGAGAAGGGTGGTCTCACGGGCGCACCGCCGAGCTCCAGGGCCTCTGAGCGCTCTGTCCCCCTGACTTCCCCTGTCCTACAAAGACGTTGGGGCGCTCTGACCCAATCCCGAAGGGGGCGGCAGGCTGGAGTTCCTCCTGCTTGACCCTCCCCCGGTACTTCCTAAGGGGGCGCCAGGGAAGCCTTGAAACCACCGACCTAGGGGACAGAACGGAGTTCCGGATGACACTGAAGGGGGAGCTGAGAAGACAGGAGAGGCCATGATCCTCTTGACCCAGTCTGATGTCGGTGGGCCTGCAGGACCCACCGTGGGCCTTGACGTTGAAGATGGGCCCCATTTGGCCAGGGAGCCAACCCCCAGAAGGCTGTGTCATTGCTCTGAAGTATGACACTGCAGTTCGCCCCAGTGACAGCAGAAGGTCTAGGAGGAACTGCGGAAGAGTGCAGAGCCACCACTGTCTGAAGGGGCTTCCTGGCGTCCTGATTTCTAGTCCTGCCAGGTCATCGGCTAGGACCTACGAGATGGTGCCCCAGACAAGACACCAAACCACACGGGCCACAATGTGGGTAGCCCGTGAGGGAAGAGAGGGGTCACAGGCTGGGACGGGACCCTCGACAGGAGAGAGGAAAAGCGGTTCTGTGAGCAGTGGCGAGCGACCTTCCTCTGCTCCTGCTCCTCTCCCTTTGCTGCCAACAATGGTGCCGGTTCACGCCCCTGTCACAGCCCCGAGGCTCTCTGACCCCTCTTTCCAGGGACACTCTCCCGGGCTGGGGTTTCCATGTCTGTGTGGTTCTGGGCTACTGAGAGGCGCAGAATTTGGAAGTGACATGAGCACCCATGGCGTGGGCTCTATGTAGCCTCTTTCCCCAGTATCGCCTTGAATACGGATACTCTTTGTCACTCCCAGGGACTTCAGTGGAGTTTGATAGGAAGATGAGCTGGGTCACAATGACCATAGCCTCCAGTGACCCAGAAATGGTGGGGTACAGTTTTAAATTTTTTATTTTTTACTTTTTTTTTTTTTTGAGAGGTTTTTGCTATAGGGCACATGTGCTTGCCAGACAGACAGAGAAAGAC